GTACCCACACAACAAACTTTCAAATTTCCAACCACTTGCATGGCTGAGATGGTCAAATGCAAGGTTCCGGGTTGCACAAAACTGACCTCCACGCGCAAATGCCTGAAAGCCCTCCAATTTTAGCTGTAGTCACAAACAACAAATCAACTCCTCACTGTGATTCGCCATGTGCCAAAGGCTGTGTATTAATTCAGTAAACTACTCGTCTGTGACTCACAGATTAACAGATTTGATCAAGGTTCTATCGTGCATACAACGACATGCACCATACGTAGAGTGACGGTTTTGGATTTACATTTTCATAAAAAACAGCTTTTTGAGTACATGTAGAAAACCTGTTAAATATAACCTGTTTTTAGAAGCGAACACTATCATAGATCCATCATGTGGTGGTTGATAACTATTAGCCAAACTTCTGCAAGCTTTCATTGTTGCTTTCATTGTTCTTCGCATTTCTCACCACAAGCGAGATTTCCATAAATTTATAGAGATCCAGAAAGCAAGACGAGCGCGAATTCAAAGCAAGTAGCAAAAAATTACATTTTCTTTATTTGTTTTGAGTTGTCACTCATAGAAAATGACAGCTGATGAAGTGCGGACGTTTTTATTTCTTGACGACCTTCGGTTAGTGATATGACTCATAAAAAAGTACGATGTCGTTAAGAGCTCCAATCATTTCTGTGCATCATGCACCCATGTATGGAATATCTTAGAACGCTTTTGCGTTCTCGCTGCTGGGAAACCACTCTAAGGGTTGTTTTCAAACAACCGTCTCCTTCATTCTGCGACATAAAACTTATCACGTCAAAATCTCCAGAACACTTTCAGCTAGGAGTTTGTAGCTTAAGTTGTCGCTGTCGCTTTCTAATCTAGAAATAATAAAATCTTTCTCGTTGGTGACGCGGTGTTGCAAAAGCGCATGCATTTATGAAATTCGAAACCTTTCAGAGTACCTCCATGAAAAATTAAGAACACTACAAAAGAACTATTTATTGTTCCTTCGACGTGCAATGTTGCTTTGAGTGTCTACGCTAACTTCTTGCCCAAAATTTTGGATGTTCAATTTTTCTTAACTATCATGAATATCGATAAACACAAAAGTTGGGGTTTCTCGAAAATTTCGATAAATCAATGACTCTTTTTATTGCTTACTTGTTCTTAACACCGACACGCTTGGCACGGTAAGTTAGACATTCAGTACAGCTTAGGGATGTTTTCGTTAAATTGAAAGAAACAAAACTGATGTGACGATCAGATGGTCAGTCGCTGTTAATGATCAGGTAGTTAAACAAAAAGCTGGAAAAGGCGGCTTGTGCAGCATCTCGATCCTGCTATGTTCGTAGTGTACTGGTGAAGGATGGTACTAATACTTACGTATAAGTTGACAACGTGAAATTCAATCGGAGCTTCAGGATTTGAAGTTTTCTTCTAAGCTGCAAACTCTTTCCCAGCGGGATGTCAGTGCATGCGGCCCAAACTTTCGAAATAATCTTTTTCTTTTTAAATTCCACTTGCGAGCTGTGGAATTTACCAATGATTTCAGCGCTTTACGAATCCTCTTTTTTGTATTGAACTTCTTGCATGCATTTACCACCATACCACTTATAAAATGGCTCTAAAAATACTGCAGAACCCTGGGGATTTTCGTAGGATTATACAGAACACCAAGCATTGCAGCACAAATGAACAGTACGATTTGCTTAATAAGTTTATAGTAATGGACATTTGAGGCATTTGAAGCAGAAACAACAGACACGCTAAGATGTTGAAGGTACTGCGGTGAATGACCTCCTTTCATATCGCCTCCCTCTCGGAATGCACGTACTTAAGGGCTTGAAGAGGTGATCAGATGTAGCACAAGGTAGAAAATAAGCAGTTCAAATTGATTTCAATTTTTTTCGGATGGCAATGAAAGGATCAATAGAGCGATAACTCACTACTTAAGCCATTCTACCCTTTTTGGAACCACCCCATTCAACAAAGTTTAAACTATCAATCTTGATTTTCTCCGGCTTACGGGGCTTACGGTGTAATTTCTCATAATTGTTTCTGGATCTCTTGCGCGCTGTCGGACGGTAGTAGTAACTAGTGATAAATTAGTAATGAATGTTCGGATTCTTCATTAGTACTAATTTAAACGATTGAGCGTTTGAATGTCACATGCGAAAAAAAGTGCGATAGCCTTTTGAAGAGTTATGCAACAGTCGCAATTTGTTGATGCACAGCACAAGCATTTTATCTTTGCAAAATTAAAAGTGCAGTAAAAGTTGCAAAATAAATTCTATTTCTAATCACTGCAGCAACAATGTTATTCAAACCTTGCTATAGTCAAGTACATGGCACTGTCATGAATGACTGAAACCTCCGCAAAGAATTCTGAGCAAAGCAATTCCGCAACAGGAAAGTTGGTAGTCAAAAGCGCGCTTGTTATTAAGCAAAAAGCATGCAGATGGAATGAAACTAAAGTAGAAATATATTGCAATACAGCAAATTGCGTTGTTCTCCCCTTTTCACTTCTGCTTCTTTATACAATATGTGCTCTGTTACGCTGTTACCTGGATTAAGCGGATAGAATGAAAGTGCAAATTGCGCGCGTGTTTACTTCATGAGTTCCTCATGAAATCGTTGAGCTAAATAACTCAGTTCTTTGTATCAGTGAGGGCAAATATACTACGAATTGCGCACGTAATAGATGTTAGTTGACCTGCTGGTAATAGAGCAGCATGCTCCAGCGGGTTATGACGAATACGAAACTAGTTATTGAAACAAGAAATTGCTCTATGTTTGCTTTTGGCTTAGAAGTCTTAGGCCCGTAGTAAAGCTGCCTCCGCGATCTTAGCTAAATAAAATTTCAGTTGAGGCTCGACGAATTAGATTGCCCTCAGTCGCGTCATTGTTGGTAATGCCAACTATCCACTATGATAAGATTGAAAGCGCCACGTCCATGCATGTATACGACTCGTAACCCGTTCGCCGAACATCCGCATCTTTGTGACTGGTACTAGCGTCGGAGATGTGGCCGCACTTGTTAGATGTTGTTGAAGACTGTTAGCCTGCACTGTGGCTCCGCACTCGGTATGTTCGACATGTTGAACTGACGTGTATCGTAAGTAGGGTCAAGTGTGGGATGTGGCACGCCACATCTGGGAGGGGGGAGGTCGTATTGAGAGGTCAGGGAGGGAGGGGGGTCGTTATCGAGGCTATATCTAGGCGTTAACATAATATTCGTTAACAATGTTAGATAGGCCCATCAAATACTAGCACATTGATGTTTTATCCTACCATCGTATACGTAAATTGGGCATGGTAAGAAAGCCCTTGAAGCATGAGAGCATCATTTTCGTATCTGGCATGTCAAATACCCCTGTGGGCCAAGTTTCAGCGAATTCTGAGGTTTGCAAGTGTTAGGCCACTCACGTGAAATGGTCATTTTCGAACATAATCAACTTTGTTTTTAAAGTGAATTAGCGACCCCATTTGGCACTCATTACAGAGCCCCTCTAGTTCTCTGCCTACCTCAGAAATTCCGTTTCAAAAAACCTACAAACTATAAAATTAAAAGTCAACCAAAATCTCGTTTTTTTCCATTTTTCGCTTTTGATGGCTGCACTTTCACCAACTATTACTCAAAGCAAAGAAGACGAATCACGCCCAAATCATTCCTCTGTAATCTCAGAGGTTTAAGCTATCGACGCATGTAAATACTGTTTGCTGAAAATGTCTTTTTGACACAGTTAATGGGGTGTGCCCCCCCCCTCCTCAAAAGCTGTGGCCGCCACAGCTTTTTAGGGTGGGGGCTCATGAACGCTATCTACAACCGTGCAATCAATGAATTTTCTCCTCTTTAGAGCAAAAATTTCATTTGAGGTTGTTTCTTTCAAAAAAGAAGTTATGGAGCTTTTTTCTATATATTCACTTCGAAACAAGGCGAAAAAATATTGGTTACGGTGAGACGCCGGCTCTGCTCCGGTGCGTAGCAGGGTCGCGGTAAAATGGATAATTTGAAGGCTTTTTACTGTTAATGCGGCAATTTTTTGAGTTGCTCTTGCTTCCATGTTTGTTTTCGATTTATTTTCTTTGATCACTGCTGCCTCTTGGGAATGGTGAAGAAAGTCCGACACGTTTGATCGCTTTTCAACAGAAGCTTCTACACTTTTGCCATAAGCGGGCCTGCATATAAGCTCAAGGGAATGGTCAGAAGTCGAAGTGGCCAAACCAAAGGAGCTGTATATCATTCGATGCGTATAAAACACTGACTTCGAATCTGTCTTCCTTATCTGCTTCCCGCTTCTGTGAACGAAGCTACAAGCGGTTTTATTGTGAAAAAATCATACATAAAAACAGCGAAATTGAGAACATTGTTGCACTCTTAGCTCACCTTCTGGCTTCAAAAATTTTAAATAAGCTAGCTGCATGTTTTGGCCCAGTATTGAGGCGAACGTGACTCTGTACTGCTAAATTTTCAATTTCACGCATAATTTCTTAGCAAAATAATGGTCTTAATGGCTTATAGCTTCGTCCAGAAAAGAGATAAGCAGGTAAGAAAGAGAGATTTAGAGTGAGCGCTTCATGCTGCATCTAATGGTACTTAGTTTGTCTGGAATGGCCACTTTGATTTCTGACCATTCCCTTGTCAGTCGTGCCTATTCATGGTAAATTCAAAATCTACAAAATTTTCTTTCCTCTGTAGCCAGTTAGTTCCTTGAAGTACTTACCTCTTTTGGTATCGTCATTCAGCAGTGGCATAATAAAACTTCAAGCCCACACTTTTGCAAGAGCTTTTCACAGCTCTTCATTGAGTGTACAGAATTTACTGTTTGAAGACTTCAGTGAATATTGGTCGATTTCCATAACTTCAGTTTGTTGAATGCACGTGAATAACTTCCTCGCTTGCTCTATCATGAGCCTTATTCTGGTCTCCAAAACAGCTATGATTTCAGCAGGCATGTGGCGCAAAATTAGTTTACTTCATTGTATTTGCAGCAAATACCTTTTTTGAAAAATCGTGATGCAGGTTCTAGCCTAGTCATATTACCACATCTTAAATCTGATACAGGTTCAATATGATGTCGACTGTCTCCGCGGAAGTCTTGCTGAAAAAGGTAGTGAAATGAGACACTTACTGGAAGGTTATACTGTCTCAAAAGTAGAATATTCTGAATGTAGACACGTTTTTCTATATGCATTATTTTTGTGAATTTGGACGTTCTTAGGTGGCACCTTACAAGAGAATGATCAGAGATTGAAATTGCCAATTCAGACAAGCTGTATACCATTAGATGCAGCATGAGACGCTGACTCTAAATCTGTCTTCCTTACCTGCTTATCGCTTTTCTAGACGAAGCTATAAGCCATCAAAGAACATTATTTTGCTAAGAAATTATGCGTGAAATTGAAAATTTAGTCGTACAGGGCCACGTTCGCCTTAATGCTGGGCCAAAACATGCAGCTAGCTTAATTAAAATTTTTAAAGGCAGAAGCTGAGCTAAAAGTGCAACAATGTGTTCAATTTCGCTGTTTTTATGTATCATTTTTTGCAAGAAAACCGCTTCCTTCGTCCATAGAAGCGATAAGCAGATAAGGAAGACAGAGCGTTTTATACTGCATCGAATGATATACAGCTTGTTCGGTTTGGCCACTTCAATTTCTGACCATTCCCTTGTTAGCTAACTGCATGGTTCCAAATCCGATTTTCGCTTTTTTCATCTGCACATCATGACTTGGGCTTGGAAAGGATGTTGAAAGCATGCGAAACAAAGCGGTTTTGTTTCAGAGCGAATTGTATGACCCATTTTCTGTGCTTGTTGCTCGACTTCCTGCCCATCATGGCGACAACTTACTTGTGATTAGGCGTGAACGTAGGCCTGCAGGTGACCATATTATTCATTTTTGAAGTATAGGGCGGCTCTCTAGTCTGGTGTGATGGTTTCCACGGTTGATTTGGGTTACATTCACACGGAATGACTATAGTTGCAGGTTATTCGCCTCAAATGTCACACTATCATGATTTGCACGATTATCCAAAAATAAGACTTTTTCATGGATTTGTAGTGTCACCATCATTATTTTTTAGCATTTGATCCTGCTCAAACTAGATTCGAGAACAACGCTCTTCTATGGAAAACCTGCTTCCATGTCAGCTTAGCTTGAAGGACCTACGAGGCAGCATATTTAACCTTCCTCTGCTTTGTTTTCATGTTGATCCTCATATCTTTGTACTACGGGGTGCAGCGCGAGTTTATTATACTTTGAACAGTTGCATCGTGGTTGTCCTTTTCGCATAGTGATTTATATGTTCTGTATTCACGGAATTTAAAAAAAATACGTATTTGTTTCTCACTGATTTAGATTCAGATTGAATAAAGTTCAAGTATGTGTGCTGACATGTGGGCCGAAAAATACAGTACAAGGCTTCACAAACATTGATTTCAAAGCTTTGCTGTGGCGTGGTGAGGAATATCGCATATATCAGTATGAGTGTCTAAGTGTCTTTCACTTAGACTACCGAGGAGAGGAGGGGGGTCGTATTTGGCCGTCGTATGCCACTCCTCTTGCTCCATTTTGATCGTAAGTTACTCAGGAGTAAATTACGGAAAGTTTCTCCGCGTATTTTCATTTACACACTATTCAATAATCGTAAGTTACTCAGGAGTAAATTACGGAAAGTTTATTCGCGTATTTTCATTTACACACTATTCAAATCAATCGGTTCTCTAACTGAATGTTAACTGATTTAAGTAAACGACCTCGCCAGCAAAGGTGCGATAGGGGGAGCCGGGTTCTCCCCAGGTGAAGAGGTTCTCGGCTGCTTCCGACCTTCCAGGGTGAAGGGGGTATGTGAGCCCAGGGGGAAGGGGGAGGGAAAGAGAGAAAATGTAAAAAAGCGTGGTATGAAGAGCTCTAATTTGCACCTTATTTAGGTAGAAATTGAAAAAAAATTTTTTAGAATTAAAAAAAAAAATAATAAATCAGAAAAATTGACTTTATGAAGATCTGTGCTCTCATTTTACTGCATTAACAAAAATCGCGAGACAACAAGTTCGCTGCCTGAAAGATCTACTTCTTCCTTTAACAGATCATCGGAGTAGAAGTGGAATTGCGTCAAAAAGCGTTCTGAGTCGAAAATGTATTTGAAACGTTCTTTTTCTTCTAAGCGCTTTTGTGTTTTTTCTTGGCCCTCTGGTAGCACCAGGAAGTCAGCAGGTAGGTGACCAGTTTCTTTATAACATCTTTTAGGATATTTTAAAAAGTCATACGATGACAGCCTGTCTGTACCACTCATAGCAATCGTTTAAATAAGTTTTTAGATAACAATATGTTTAGTAGAAGGTTGACAAATCTCAAGTAATTGCTTAGATGTTCCACGTTGTACGAGTTTCGCGTTGCGTTCTGATAACAGAGTAGATAGAAAATCCCCTCTCCACCTCTGCCGTGCTAGTCGGAATGGGAACTAGCTTTTCTAGTAAGTCCATATATTTTTGCAGGATGTAATGGGGAAAGAGCCAGATCGCATAGCTTTCGCAACACGGGAAGGAAATAGAGCATATTTTTTGGGCCTTGTCAAACTCTGGCTACACCTCCTCTGGCATACGTGTTGTTAGTTGACGAGAAAGCTGCTCAACTTCTTTTTCAACAGCATCTGCGGAATAGCCGAAAAAGTAGATACTATGCGGCGCGTTGGTTTTTTTTCAATATCATAGGTCATAATGTCACAAGGCAAGATACTTCCAGCAGCATAAGGCACAGAGTTAAGTTCGTGGCTGCACGTCAGGAGGTACGCCGCGCGCGGTGGCCGCATTGCCGCACACGCCGCGTTCAAACCTGAAACCCACAAAACTCCCCACTGTTGAAGACTCCCGGCGGCAAAAACCGGGGGGTGAGGTTGGGGATAGATACCTAACTGGATGCCATAAGTAAGATCACACCAGGTGCGCTGCTGTTGTATTGGCTAAAGTACGTTGCAACGTCGCTTCGCGAAAAATTCGCGCCGATCGTACCTCCCGACCGTTCCCCTTAAGTTCGTACTCCAGTCGGGATCTAAGAGCAGTAGCTATGCTTTGTACTAACCTTTCCTTTTGTTCATATCCATGTTCGTGAATTTAGCAGCCTTGAAATCTTTAGCAACCTGAAGATCAGCAATGGACTTCTTGGACATTTCCTCATCGAAACTAGGCAATCTGCTTGGATTTCTGATGTACGAAATAGAAAGTTTCGCTCAATTGTCAACTCTGTATCAATGCCGACAACATTTTCGTCGGCGTGAGATTCTCCTTCTGCCTCGCTGTTGAACTGGAACTCATGCGAGTCATCTGCGATTTTGTAAAGTATTCTGCCTCCGTTTCTTCTTCAAACTGCCAATCTTTCCAAAACACTGAAGGATATTTTAATAACATGTTGTTCTTCTGAATGCCTTAAAGTTTTTGATTCATTGAAACCAACCATTCTCTACAATTAGGTAAGGTGAGTCTAGAGCGTTTTCACGAAAGTGACCTTCTTCAGCACTAGGTTTACAGAGTACAGATTCCAAAAATGGACGGATTTTTGTGTGAATGTGTGGAAATTCAGCAATTTCCCATAGTTTTTTGAGCATGTGCTGATAATGATGGCACAACTCTCAATCAAAACGCTTTTCTTACTAAAAAGCATAAACATATAAAGACGATAAGCACGCTTAAATAGACGCGTTCGCTCACGTTCCCGTTGGTGCTGATAACGATGTCAATTCACAGCACATTTTTTACTATTAGCTTGCTCCACCCAGCTCCACCAATGTATTAGCTTTTATCGGTCACCGGAGCAAGTGCTTTTTAGAGCCGGGAAGCAAAGAAGTCCAACATGCTGTATACCATTCGAAAGCTGAGATCATGGCAAATCGACGTAGTCCGTCGTCTTTTTTCTATGTCTTCTATATCGCGAGATATGAGGGATTTTACGTACTTCAAAAACCAACTGATTTTGTGTCCTCACTTACCGTCGCAATACACCCAAAAGACTTGTAGCTTTGAACAAAGAAGTGTTGATTATATTACTAAAATAAGGTTGATTAATTCTTATGAAACTGTAACGCTCAGGGACGTATTTATGAGTGCTCGGAAAGAGTTTGTGCTTCTGTAGATGCTTTTTTTGTAAATAAATAATATGAATAAACATAAATACCGTTTCTTTTGTAAATTTATGAGCGTGCTTGTTGTTTGAGGTACTTAGTCTGCAAAACCTTTTGATAACGATTTTTATTCAAATCTCAGAGTACAATACCAATCTCAGCCATAGTGAAGGGAGTCATCCGGAGTTTGGCCTCAAAGTGAAGGGGGGTAAGATCCATCACTCCCCCTATCGCAACTATGCTCGCCAGATAGACGGACGGGCAGCTGAAATTTCATTTTGCATTTTTACGGCATGGGAAGATGTGATAGTCAGTCTATCCTACCGAATCTCGGATGAAGGCCTCAGTTCAGTTCACCTGGACTGGATTAGCTTTACCAGGGGCCTTGATCAAGGAACAGGTAGAGAGGTGGGGGAGAGGAAAGAAAGCGATTGCAATACCTCAAGTTCAACAACTTTTATACACCTCAAATAATTGCCACCATTTATTGCAAACCGTCAAGCTTGTCGTGGGTTTTTTAGCTGAAGGCATCTATATGGTCCCAAATTATGGTGGACTCATTGATGAATGACGACGGATGGCACCACTCGAAGTTTATTTACGGGCATGCCGAAAACCTTAGTTGTCGGAAGTTTGATTAGTACCATCCGCTTCTACCCCGTCTTGGGAATCCCCGCCCACTTTAGTTTCTTCATACTAGATTGGTGTTGACTATATTCACCATATGACATGGTCCAAAGTGCTGTTTTCCGAGCCCTATCACTTGATCATATAAGATAGGAGTAGGGAAATGCTCAAAAAAATCACCGCTTTTATTCTTTCGAGCAGCTGATTTCTAAACTATTTTTATAGCATATCTATGTAGAAGCTTTAAAATTTGTAATTTCGGTTCATAATTGAAATACCTCATATTTTGAAAGGTTCGAGAAGTTTTGAAAGAACCCCAAAGAACCGTTGGTTTTTATGATAAAAACATAACCAAAACGGTATACGCGACATAGGAATGAAGATTGGTGATAATTCGAAAACTATTTTGCGCCGAACGCGAATTTTTAGCGGTTTATAATAATACCAATATTTCAAACGAAGCTCATTTTTCACTTAAAGTTGAAATCTTTAATATCAATTTTTTTGGTAAAGTTGCAGTAAAAAACTTTAAAAAGTCTGAGATATCTACTACATATTGAGCCAAGTGCATTTTAAAAAGAAAAGCTTTACCTCTCTTAAAATTCTCGAAATGCTTTTAAAGTAAATGCGCTCCGAAGTCTGTTTGCTTGTAATTAAAGCATTCCGTTTAGCTTCTGCCAACGCTAGTCATATATTATCAAGTTTTTTGATACATATTGGTTGACGCTAGAAAAATTCCTGTGTAATCTTCGCGTTTTTCAGGGAGTTCCAAGTTACTCTAAACTTCGGAAGCGGAAGCGAGAAGCCGTTTCGGAAGCGAGAAAATCGCTTTGGAATAGCGAAGATACACGAGGACCCCATCCATGCCCGCCCCTCCCCATCCATGCCCCCCCCCCCATTTGTGCGCGCCCATCCAATCGCCGTTCCAGAAGGCCGGCCTGTGGGTTCTCCGGAACGGGAAATGTCGGGGTTTTAGAGCATTCTTGACTTCATATTCGGAATCAGGGACATGAGAAGGGCCCTGAAACGACAAAAACGTGGAAGTCGAAAATCTGCGTGGACGGTGCTTTTAACGCAATCTTCTTGGAGCTCAGTGCACCTGTTAATATGTGACTGTGAAACTCAGAGCACGATTTTTCACAAAATCCATCATATTGACCTTTTGTAGCGAAGAGAGACCAAAACTTGAAACTTTTTCATCTTTGGTCTTTTACATCTGGACCTATAACATTTTCACCATCAACTGAAAGACGTCTGATTGACAATGACTGTTAAGAAGTACAAAGCTGTGTCAGAAAATATTTACTCTGAACCAAGTCACAGCTCTACAAATAAAGCGCCCATGCAAGGTATGGGAAACGTCATAGCAGTGTCAAGACCAGATTTAAACTAGATTCGATTTAGAAGCGATCAGGAAAAG